TAGCTGAAATAGAAAGATTGACCACATGGGCTTAGACACAGAGTGGAGATGATGAAAGAAAGAGTCAGTGAACTTAAAGATAGGCCAATTGAAATTATATGAACTGAAGAAAAGCAAAAGGTCAAAAAAAACAACAACAAAAAACAGAGACCCAAGGACATGTAGAACAACATCAGAAGGTCTAGCATAGGTATAATTGGAGTTGTAGAAGGAAAGGAAGTCATGTGAGGAAATAATGGCTGAAATTTCCTAATTTGGGGTCAAAGGGCTAAATGTATATTCAAGAAGTTCAGAAAACCCAAGTAAGATAAATACAAGCAAAATCACAGACAAACTGCTGAAAGCCAAGGTCAAAGAGAGAAATGTTAAAAGCAGCATATGAAAACTAGAGGCCCAGAGCATGATATTTGTGCGCGGGAAAGGGGGGATGCTGTCCCCTCCGCCCAGCCTACACCCTCTCCAGTCTGTGACATCCCCTCACAATCTAAGACCTAAATGGGCAGTTGGACGTCCCTCTCATAATCCAGGACTGCTGGCTCCAACCGCTAGCCTGCCTGCTAGCCCGATCACCCCCTAACTACCCCCCTGCTGGCCTGATCGCCCACAACTGCCCTTCACTTCAGGCCTGACCACCTTTAATTGCCCTCCCATGCTGGCCATCTTGTGTCCACATGGGGATGGCCATCTAGTGTGTGTTAGAGTGATGATCATTTGCATATTACCTTTTTACTAGATAGGATGCCATATTACAAATGGGGGAACAAGGATTTGAATCCCCATTCACTGCTCATCAGAACCGTGGAAGCCAGAAACAGTGGGACAATACTTTTAATTAACATGCTGGAAAGGCAACAAAAACTCTCCCCACCCAGAATTTACATCCCGCAAAAGTCTCCTTTAAGAAAGGAAAACAGATTTTCAGATAAAACCACAAACACACAAAAGATAATTTATTGTAAGCAGATCTTCACTGTAAGAAACGTTCAAGGAAGTTTTCAGGTTGAAGGAATTTGAAACTGGGTGGAGACTCAAATGCACATGAAGGAATAAAGAACATTGGAAATGGCTAATAATTGATTAAACATAAAAGGCTATTTTTTAAGGCCTATTTTTCTTAATTTACGAAGGATGTTTGGGGATATAACACTGTCCTGTGGGGTTTGTACTATTGATAGTAGATGTAGAACAAGTTAGTATAAAGGACAGGATGGGGTGAAGTTCCATATGCTTCCTGCATTTTATCTGGAGTGGGTCACTGTTCGCTCTAAATAGACTATGAGAAGGAAAGGGTCTGAATTGTAACCCTCAGAAAGAAGAGAAGCACAGGCCTGGCAAGCATGTGCTGCTCACACTGGAGCCCGGGGTGGGTGGGGGCATCTCTCACGGAGGCTCTGGAGTGGCTGGGCTGGGCTGAGTCACTTTCTCAGTGAGAAGGAACATGAGCTCAGAATCAGCGCTGCCCACCGAGAGCCCGCGGAATGGCAAGGTCTCCGAGGAAGACTCGCTCCACAGTCTAAATGATGTCCCGGGGATGCAGGGCCTAGTTGGCGAATCAGAATGTGCCAGGCCACAGGTTGTTACGCTTTGAGGAACCCCCCAAGGAAGACCAAAGGACGTCGCTTGAATGCTTAAAGATTTGGAATCTGTTTTGTAAATGGTGCCGTTTAGCCTCATGTTGTATTGCAAATTGCCTCCCAGGGTTGTGATCAAACTGGTGGATTTGCCCTGAGCTCATCTTAGAGATGAGAGCAGTGCGGGGAGCAGTGCAGGGTACGGAGAGGGTGGTGATGTTACTGGGCAGGGCCCTGGTGCTCAGGAGGTGCTCAGGGTCTCTCCTGGGATTGGTCCTTTGCTGAGCTCTGTGCAGAGAGGGGTCTGCCCGCCTGTGCCAGGGCCAGGCAGCCTGCAGCATGCCCCACCTCCCTCCCCCCAACCCTCTGGGCTGTGAGACATTTGCCTACAGACATGTCCTTACTCTCCATCACATATGTTTTTATGAAAGGCTGCATAGGAGGAATTTGCAATGAATAATTCATGTGTAATTGTTTTCAAAATATTCAAAATAGAAAGTCGCTCTTCTTTAAAAAAAAAATCTTTATTGATGAAAGTATTACAGATGTCCCCTTTCCCCCCCCCCCCCCGTTAACCCCTCCGAGCCCCCCACCCCCGTCCCAGGCTTTTCCACACGTTAGTGTCTGTGTACATGGGTTATGCATGAATGTTCTGTGAAGTTATTTTTCAAAGAAAGCAATCTGTCCCTTTTGCTGCTTCCACGGGGCCACAGCTGTCTGTCTGTACTTGCATGCCCGCCGGGACAGGCTCCTTGCACGGCCGGGCTGGGTGATGTGCAGATGGCATGGAACTGCCAGAATCTCCAGTCACGTGCAGCCTGCCCGAGTCCCCAGGCAGGCCCTGATGGTCTGGAAATCCGGCGCTGCTCCCCACGAGGCTCTGCACTGCAGCTGCACCTGCATCCCCTCCGTCTTCCTTGTCTCTGATCCTGCACCAGGCAGGATTGTTCACACACGCGCGCACACGCACACACACACACAAACACACACGCTCTCACACACATGCATACAAACACACGCATACACACACATGCTCACACACACAAACATGCCCAGCCAACTCCAGGGCTTGATCAGCTGGGCGGTACAGATACAAGGAGCTGCTGTCTGTTGTAGTCAGTTTATTACTGACGTACACAGCCTAAGGTGCCAGCTCCTTGCGCCCTAGGCCCGCACACCAAAAAGGATGTCACCAAAACAGAAGTTGACACCCGCCCTGCAGGTGTCGGGTCCCCCGTGCAGCTAAGTGGGCCTGTAGCCTGCAGCTGTAGTGTGAGAAAGCGGGCAGAGGCTCATTAGAACCCGGGCAGGCGGTCTCAACTCCTAAAGGCTCCCTCCCTGGCACTCTGGGGATCTCTATGGGGTCTGCCACGGCCACATCAGCCTCTCACTGTGGCAGATTTGGATGCCTGAGAGGTGCCAGGCTCTGAGCCAGAGCCCTTCCTTCCCCAGAGGCCTATTCCAGCCGTGGAGTGCCGTTGGTAAGAAAATGTAACTGGGGCAAGTGCCTTGAACTCTCTAAGCCTCGGTTTCCACATCTTTCGCATGCGGTTAGTAAGAGTGACTTTCTCAAAGTTTATTATAAGCATTAACTGAGACTTAAACATACCTGTGAGGAGCTTAGCACATTGCCTGGCACGTACCATTGCTACATGATGATGACGGTGTTTGTGATGATGATGATGGTGATGGTGATGGTTATGATGATGGAGACGATGATGATAGTGATGGTGATGAAGATGGTGAAGATGATGATGGTGATAGTGATGGTTATGATGATAATGGTAATGATGATAATGATGGTGATGGTGGTGATGATGGTGATGGTTATAGTGTGATGGTGATGGTGATGGTGATGGTGATGGTGATATTTATGAAGGTGATGGTGATGATGGTGATAGTAATGGTGATGATGAAGATGGTAATGGTGGTGATGAAGATGGTAATGGTGGTGATGATAATGGTGATGGTGATGATGGTAATGGTGGTAATGATAATGGTGATAGTGATGATGGTGATGAAGATGGTAATGGTGGTGATGATGGTGTTGATGGTGAGGAAGATGGTAATGGTGGTGGTGATGGTGGTGGTAGTGATGATGATGGAGATGATGAAGTGTCCTATCTCACTTCATCCTCCTGTTTCCTTTCCCCTTTTAGCCTTCTCCCCTGAATGCAGTGTAGTGCTGAGTCTGCTATGCCTCTGCTCTTTGGCTTACTCTGGCTTCCTGTGCCATCAGACCCCTGACATTTGTCATCAGCTGGTCTGTGTGTCCCCAGGCCTCCAAAACACACTTTCTTCAAAACCTGTCTCTAGACACGGCTCTCCCAGACAGCCTTCCTTCGGATGCCATGCATGGGATGGGGTGGGGGTCATGTGATTCTATGTTCTTTTTCAGAAGAAAAGCTGTATTTTCTCATGTAAGTTGCAAATACTTTGAGAGTAGCAGAGATGGTGCCTTCTGTCCCACCTGTCTCCTCTCGCATCATTTCTGGGGTCTTACCTCCAGGCAGGGAGTCTGTCTGGGTTGATGACGGGTTGTTGACAAAAGGGTGCCGTCAACATCTGTCCCTTGAACAGCCCATCCCATCTCCTGGGGTAGTGTCGTCTGGATAATTGCTCCCCCCAACACACACACAGACACGTACACACACACACACGTACACCTACACACACACACAGACATGTACACACACACACGTACACCTACACACACACGTACACACACACAGAGACACGTACACACACACGTACACCTACACACACACGTACACACACACACACAGACACGTACACACACACACGTACACCTACACACACACGTACACACACACACACACAGCTACCCGTGTACACACACACACACACACACACACACACGTATGCAGGATGGAAACTGTAAGCAGTCAGTATGTGTGGTGAGTAAAGGACCCTGGATAACGTTCAGTGAGTGGCGTGTCTCAGAGAGAAAAACAGTGCCCCGGGTGCCCCCCAGACGTAGCTTGCCGTGTGAACTGTCGGTAATGATGAAACTTTAATCAGAATCTTAGTCTTTCCTCCACAGACTGCCGTGCTTTGCTTTGTTCACGTTCCCGGGCACATGAGGCTGAAAGCCGTTGCGGGCACAGCACATGTGTGTGAGCTCAGTACTCAGATGCCCGGCCCTGAGGAGGTCTGCGGGGCTGCCCGCAGCCTGAGCGCCCTGCAGTCCGAGCCCAGGCTGGGCGCCGCTGGCTCCTTGTTCGCTCACTGGCACAGCAAAGAAACCGGGGGCAGGGCCAGGGCCCCAGGCACCGGGGCCTGCCCGCACGAGCCTGTGGGTGGACGAACAAGTACTGATTGCAGGCTGGAGCCCAGAGCTACAGGGTTGCCGGCTCAGCCGGGACCCCCAACCACATAAGCATCTCCCCCTCCCCGGCTCCCCATCAGGTGCTGGAAAATCACGGGCTGCCCATGGATGATGACCAGTACGCTCAACTGAAGGCAGCCATCGGCTATAAGAAAGAAGGAATGAACTACCAGGATCTCGCAGCGGGATTTGAAGGTAGCTCATCGCCAAGGGCAAACCCTGCCAGCGCGTCTCCCCAGGGGCACCCCAGTCTTTCTGAGCCCTGAGGAGCGTCCTCGTGGCGGGTGGGGCGAGCGAGGCTGGAGCAGGCACTTGGCTCACTTTTATCTGACGGTTCCGTCTTCTTGCTTTCGTAGTTACGCTTAGTTGTGATGCAGGATTTTGCCCAGCAGAGCCATCTACAAACTCAGAGCAAAGTGGTGTGTAAAACTCACTCCAAAGCCTCCGGAGCCTTAAATCACACCCCATGTTCTTTAAGATTTTCCTCCTTGAAAAACTGCTGGGCCCAGCCCGTGTGGCTCAGTGGTGGGAACTTCAGCCCACATACTGAAGGGCCATGGGTTCGATTCCTGGTCACGGTCACAAACCTGGGTTGCAGATTTGACCCCCAGTCGAGGCACATATGGGAGGCAATGATCAATGTGTCTCTCACATCAGCGTTTCTCTCTGTGTCTCTCCTCCCTCCCTTCCCCTCTCTTTAAAAATCAATGGGAGAAATACCTCTGTTGAGGATTAGCCAAGAAACAAAGTCCAGGTTATCCTAAATGAAGGGCACGTGGGCCCGGCAGAGCAAGCGGCCTGACCCCTGGCCTCCTGCCCGGGAGGACCAGGGTCTGTGAGACTGACTAGCCAAGGCCCCCCGCCCCCTCCCCTTCCCAAAGGGCTTTTAGGAAGTTTGTCCTGTGCAGCAAGGTCAAGGCCGAAGCCAGGTCCTCCCGTGTGTCCTGCCCTCACCCTGCTCCCCTGGCCGCACGCCTGGCAGACACAGGAGGCGTGTGCGGCCTCCTCTGGGCCATGTCCTCTGTCCCCTCCTCTCCATGGTGCTGCCGCCACTTCCTCCTGTGCGGGGAGGTGAGGGGGACAGCGAGCCCGGGCGTAGAAAAGCTGTAGGAATCATGCAAACGTGTTGGGGGTGCTCTCCTGTCCCTGGGGCTCCGCCAGAGTGGCGCTGGGCTCCTCACTGGGAAACGCAGAGGTGCCCCCCCCAGCCCTCCATCTGCCCGGCCCAGAGGGACAGCGGTGCCCACATAGGTAACGGGCAGTGCCAGAAGCCCCCCCGTTTGGAATTTTACACTCTGATTGCGTACATGTTTTGAAGGAAAAGGAATCACATTTATTTCAGGGAGTGTTTGCAGTGTGCCAGGAAGGGAATGGGCCCAGATAGGTCTGTCAGACCTGCAGTCCCCGAGCAGTGAGTCTGCTACACAATGGGAACTTGATTGGCAGCTGCTGGCTGCTCCAGGCCTCCTCCCAGTCCGCCTGTTCTTTCCCTCACTTCCCTCTTCCCCCTCCTCCCCCTCCTCCTCCTCCTCCTCCCCCTCCTCCTCCTCCCCCTCCTCTCCCTCCTCCTCCTCCATCAGTACCAGTGCAGTCTGTGGCCCACCTGGTTGGTGGGATTGAGGTTCCGGCCAGAGATCAGGTTGGAGGTGTGTGCGCACGTGGCCAAGCAGCTCGGTAGGCGTTACCTGCCAGGCGCACCGAACCTGGGGGAGGCCCCTCCAGGCCCAGGGGGAGTGGGCAGGAGCCAGGTTCCCTCCTGGGTCACAGGATGCCTCGAGTTCCTGGCGCACTGCCCGCGTCAGCCATAGACGTGTCGTGGGGGTGGGGGGCAGGCAGCGTTTTACCTGCAGAACCACGTCCCAGCTCACAGCCTCCAGCTGGCCACACTCGGTCCCCCTGATGGCGGATGGGTTCCTGAGTGCATCCCGCTGCCGTCCCGGTTTCAGCTCCAGAGCGGGCACGGTGCAGTAACCAAGCAGCTGGCTCTGGCACGGGCGGGCCTGGTGCAGCCGTGCTGCCATGACGCTCAGCCTGGGGATTGGCCCTGAGCTCCATCTTCTCACCCTGAAGTGGGCACAGCAGTAGCCTCCTCCCAGCAGCTGGGCACAGGGAGACTCCGTCTCGGGGTTGGAAGAGCCACTCGGAGGATTGAGCAGGGTCCTCGGCAGGAAATGGCCATTGAGTTAGTGAATGTGGCCCAGGCTCCCCCTCAGGACAGTGTCCGGGAGCCGAGGACAGGACAGCGGGCCCAGCAGTTCCTGTGGTCACTGCAGGCCGATCCCGTGTGGCGGGGCTTGCGGGCCTCGGCGGGAGGGTCTGTGCTGGCGCAGAGGCGGGAGGTGTGGCCCCCGGACACGGCCTCCCACCCCCGCGATCGTTGCAGGAGCTAAAACGAACGGACCGCCAGGGACTGCGCCTCCGACCCCAGTTCTCCCGAACAGCAGCCTGGCCAGCGGCTTCGTGACCGCCGAGGAGTGCCTGCAGCAGCTGCCCCAGCGCCTGAGGGAGAACTTCCCGGTGAGCGGCCGCTCCCCGGCCCTCTGCCGCCTGGGCTGTGACCCCAAAACCCGTCCTGTCCGCCTCCTCCCAGGACACAGCGCGCCTCCACCTCCTGGGAGGAGCTGCGTCCCCTCGCCTCGCTGCGGCTCTCCCCTGAGGTCCTCATACCCGATGGCCCTGGGCTTCACTGTGGGGGGATGGGGCAGGGCGGTATTGCGGTCACTGTGGGGGGATGGGGCAGGGCGGTATTGCGGTCACTGTGGGGGGATGGGGCAGGGCAGTATTGCGGTCACTGGGGTGATGGGGGTGGTATTGGGGTCACTGTGGGGTGAGGGGGCAGGGCAGTATTGGGGTCACTGTGGGGTAATGGGGGGTGGTATTGGGTCACTGTGGGGTGAGGGGGACGGTATTGGGGTCACTGTGGGGTGAGGGGGCAGGGCGGTATTGGGGTCACTGTGGGGTGAGGGGGCAGGGCGGTATTGGGGTCACTGTGGGGTGATGGGGCGGTATTGGGGTCACTGTGGGGTGAAGGGCAGGGCGGTATTGGGGTCACTGTGGGGTGATGGGGGCGGTATTGGGGTCACTGTGTGGGGGGGCGGTCTCGGGCCGTGGAGCAGGGAGGGCTCTGACGGACGACGGATGGGCGCTCGCTCTGTTGCAGAACTTGTTCGCCGCCTTCTTCCGCATGGACACCAACAGGGACGGCATCGTCAGCATGCAGGACCTGCACCGGCTGCTGGAGCACCTGCTCTTCAACCTCAGAGACGACCAGTTCGAGCGCCTCGTGGCCCTCCTGGGCCTGCGGCTCAGCGTCACGCTGAATTTCCGGGAATTTCAGAATCTGTTTGAGGAGGCGCCACCCACAACAGACGACCCGCCTCAACGGCTCATCAAGTAAGGACACGGCGCAGCTCGGCGTCACCCCGACTGCCGCTTCCCAACACCCACAGGGCACGCGAGGGCAGCCGCCGCCCGGCCGCCGTCCACCCTCCTCTTGGTCAGTGCACCCCAGAGAGTGGCGCTCAGGGCCGGCCGCCTGGTCACGCAGGCGCAGGGTGGAAGGCACCGGAGGACCGAGCTCTCTGTCCCTGGCGCGCTGACGGGGCTGTGGGTCCGACAGCCTGGCGCCCCGCTTTGGTGCGTGTGCATTGGAAGCGGTGGAGCCGGCCTGTGCGGCAGCATGGAGGCAGGAAGCGGGCGTAAGGGCTCCTCCGGTGCCGGGACCGGGGGCTGCTGCTCCGCCCCTCCGGTTGGGCAGGGAATTTCGGTCTTGGGCCCCGGTTTGGGCACCAGGAGAGCTGGGCTGGCCCTGGCTCGGGGCCTGGAGCGTAAAAACAGACAAACAGGGTTCCCCCACCTTCCTTGAGCTGCAGGGGCCGCCTGCTGGGGCCTTTCTCTGCCCGTCCACACGCAGTTCTAGAACGAGGGCGCCCTGGGCCCTGAGCGGGTGTGGGAGGAAAAGCACCGCCCTCACCCCACCAGCCTCCAGGCTTGGCTTCTTGTGTCCTCGGAGTTAGGTCTGTGCTCTGGCCAGAGCTGCTCCTGTCCTCATGGAAGAGGCAGGTGTCTCCTCCTCCCACGACCAGAGCTTGCTCTCCTGGAATGCTGCTCCCGAGATTCCCCCCCCTCCCCCGGGAGCCATGCCCTGGCGCCCCTCTGTGCATCCTTCCCTGCCCAGTCGCTGGAGTGACGGGATCCGCTCCTCCTGTGCTGCAGTCCGTTTCCCGCCGTCTGCGGAGCTCCGGAGCAGAGGGCTCGGTCCACGCTGCTCGTCACGCTGGCCGAGGCCTGAGGCTTGCCGTGTCTGTGACGAGGGCCTGGCTGACGGGAAGCCTGGCTCTGAGGTCAGGACCCAAAGACCCAGCTTAGGAGGGCAGCGCGTAGCTTCAGGAGAGGCTGGAGAGAGGAGAGCAGCGTGTAAAATGGAGAAAGGAGGAAGGAATGAGAAGTCAGAGGGCCTTGGTTGGAGCTTGGTCACTAAGACAGCCAAGGCCATGGCCTAGCAGAGGCCTTGGGATGGGGGGACTGTTCGCACAGGCGCTGAGATGGGGAGGGAGGGAGGGAGGTGTGGCTGCGCTGACCTCGCCGCCCAGGGTCTCCCTGAGGGCACTTGGGGGAGTCCAGGTGAGGCCCTGGGTGCAGGTGGGGTTAAGGAAGAGCCTCAAGGTGAAGGCCGGTGAATGGGCATCATTTGGGACATGAGAAGGAGCAGAGTCCCGCCCGCTGCCAGCGCCTCCAGCGGGCAGGTGGGGGGCAGCTGCTGGCCTTGGAATTCCGTGGTGAGGCCGGTGGGCAGTTGGGGAGAGATGGAACAGAAAAGCAGGTGAGCGCACAGGCCTGGGGTCCGGGCGGGTGGGTACCAGCGTTGAGGAGGCCGTGGGCCGTGCGAGAGGATGGCCTGTGGGAGAGTAAATGAATCCGGTAGGAAAGAGAAGGGCGGGGGCAGGAGGGGAAATCACGCCGACAAGGCCAGGCCGGGCGTGTTCCCGCCGGGGCCACGCGGAGGGCCGTGTCACGAAGGCCGGCGGGGAGACGGGGAAGTGTCACGCAGCAGGAAGGTCAGCGGAGGCCCAGATGTGCTTCAAGACGGGCGCAGGGTCTCCCCAGAGAGGGTGCCTCCGTGTTCCCTCGTGCCCGCCGGCTCCCTCTGGCCATCTCGGCAGTGACCAGGCGCAGGGAGAGCCCCTCGTCCCAGCTGGGCCTCCGCGCCCGCCCACGGAGCAAAGGAAGGCTGTTTGCCTGCCGGATGGGGGGGGGGGGTCGTTTCCGGAAGTCACGGAGGACCTTCCGTGTGGCACAGCAACAGCGCAGACCGGGCTTCCGGCCTGGTGGTCACCGGAGCTGGCCCATCACACAGGAGTGTGGGCACCAATGTCCTAGAAGGCACCAGAACGAGGACTTTTCACCCCCACCCCCGTATATTACTACTGAGTTTGTGGGTGCTCGTCGCGGTGACCTGGCTCCCCCTGCTCTGCGTGTGTGCGGGCAGTGGACGTGCCAGCAGCGCCGTCGGACAGGCGGGAGCCCTGGCTCCGCTCCCGGGCCCAGGCCTCTGCAGTCCCGGGAGCTGCTGCCCGTCACGTCATGGGAACAAACTGCTATGGACCAGCTCCTGAGCGCAGCGCCACCCACAGGCTGAGGGTGAGGGTGCAGCGGATCTCCCCTGGGAGGAGTGACTGGAAGCGGACCCCGAAGAGGTGGTTCAGGCACAAAGGAGAAGGTGCTGAGCAGGGCTGGGCTGGTGGGGATGCTGTGGAATCCTGTCTCTTCCGTCGTGCCCTGTCCGGGCCTCTGCCTGCTCCGCTCCCGCAGCTCCCACCCCACACCGCAGCCTCTGCAGCGGGGACAGTGCCCAGCGCTGCGGTGCCAGCCCGGACTCTGCGGCCAAGCCTCCCTCCTCACCCCGCCCCCGGCCGTGGGGTTCAGTGTCATCATCCCCGGTACCTGTGCTCCCGGCCTGCGTCCCAGCAGAGGGTCACGGTCACAGTGGCGCTGAGGGTCACACAGACCTCCGTCCCGCAGCGGGGCCCGCATTGCTGCGTGTTCTCACCTGGAGCACATGGGTGTTTGCATCCCGCCTGGTTGTCCGGGGCCTCCCAGAGACATTCACGGACGGGCTCCATGGCCCCTCCCGTTCCCCGCAGCAGGAGCCTGCAAGGGAGTGTGCGGGTCAGCATGCGCATGTGGCCACAGGTCAGGGAACTGCCCGTGGGGGCTGCAGGGAAAACGCTGCCGTGCAGACCTGGGCGTCGGGGTGCGCAGGTCCCCAACTGGGCCAGGCCCCTCCCGGGAGAATCTGAGGGCGTGACAGCCTCACACTCCCCTACCTGGTTCTGGGGGAGTAAGAATCCAGGCACCCGCCTTCCTCCAGCCTCAGCCTTCGCTGCGCCTCGCTGTGGCATCACTGAAGCAGGAGCACAGGCCCTTTTTTAGTTAGTTATTTTTTATTCTTTTAATAATTCAGAGAGGGCGGGAGAGGAGGGAGACAGGAACATCAGCCCCGCACGTGCCCTGCCCTGGAATCAAACCACGACCTCCTGGGTCACAGGTCAACGCTCAACCAGGAGCCACGCCCGTCGGGCCACAGGCTCTTTCCTCGGCTCACGTCGCCCAGGGCGCAGATCCGCAGCTTCAGCCTTGCTTTGCGCCTGCGCTGAGCCCGGAGTCTGAGCCGCTGCCCGGCCTCCCCCATCGTTGCCTCGGTCCGAACTGTCACGGCAGCACGTGACCCAGAAGGAAAGCTTTGAGCTGCTTTCTTCCGCGGACCCAGTGTGTCACTGTCTCTCCCTGGGAGGACAGAGGAGCTGTCTGCTGTGTGAGCCGCAGAGAAAGTGTAATCGCACTTATCTGGAAATAAACGAGGCCTAACCACGTTTAATAAGACCTCCCTGACGCACAGCTGGGAACTAATTAGACCAGGTGTGGACCAGGACTCTAACGAGGTCTCTGAACCGGGGCAGGGGACCTCAGGAGGTAAATGTGCCCGTTACATGTAAACACAGCTACTTACTGACTTATTTTTCTTTTAAGACAAAAGGAGAAGGTCACAGATTCAGAACTAGCTTGCGAGCAGGCTCACCAGTACCTTGTCACCAAAGCAAAGAACAGGTGGAAAGACCTGTCTAAGGTAAGAGTGCCATCTTTTCCCCGGAGGAAAGGAAATCTCTCTCAGGGTCCGAGACCACTGGGTGACCAAGCCGTCAGGTCCGGCCCCTGAGACAGTGCGGGGGCGGCATTGCACTCTCATGCCATGGGACCGTGTAGTCTGAAATGCTTTCAGATCAGACGTTCACACTCACGGTCAATCGTGGCATGGAAAGGTCAGTGGCTGTGGGCGTCACAGGGCCAGAATCCTGGCTTTGCCTCGGGTTTGGCGTGAATTACAAACTGCAGTGACACGTGAGGTGTCATACTCTTTCCCGCGGGTGAGCTGGGTTTGTACAGCAGCCCCTCCTGTGCTGCCCAGGTGGTGGGAAGCCAGTTGAGGGTGAGCGCCCTCCTTGTGTCAGATGGGAAACACAGCGCCCCCTGCAGGCCGCTGTGTTTGAGTGCCCACCCATGGCCTCACTTGGAAAGTACCCTTAAAACTGCTGGGCAGCCGAAACCGGTTTGGCTCAGTGGATAGAGTGTCAGCCTGCAGACTGAAAGGTCCCAGGTTCGATTCAGGTCAAGGTCCCAGGTTCTATTCATGTACCTTGGTTGTGGGCACATCCCCAGTAGGGAGTGTGCAGGAGGCAGCTGATCGATGGTTCTCTCTCATCGATGTTTCTAACTCTCCATCCTTCTCTCTCTTCCTCTCTGTAAAAAAATCAATAAAATTATATATTTTAAAACTGCTGGGCAGTCTCTCTCAAAGCATGTCCCCACTTTGTTTCATTTGGTCATTTCTTCCTGTGTCTTGGCCTATGCCCAGGTGAGAGTGGCTCTGTGAAGTCCTTCTGAGTTCCTGGGCTCCCTGTCCCCTCTCTCCATTCCTCTCCCCACTTCTTAGCCCCCTCTCTTTAGTCCCCTCTCCTTAGTCCCCTCTCTCTAGTTCCCTCTCCCCTAACCTCTGTCCCTAGACCCCTCTCCCTAGTCCCCTCTCCCGAGCCCCGTCAGCCAGATTGCCCCTAACTGCTCTCCCCTGCAGGCCTGGTCACCCCTAACTGCCCTCCCCTGCAGGCTTGGTCCCCTCAAACTGCTCTCCCCTGCAGGCCTGGGTCTTCCCCAACTGCCCTTCCCTGAAGACCCAGTTGCCCCCAACTTTCTTCCTCTGCTGCCCTGGTCACCCCTAACTGCCCTCCCCTGCAGGTTTGATCACCTCCAACTGTCTTCCCTTGCAGGCCTGGTCCCTCCCAACTGTCCTCCCCTGGGCCATCTTGTGGCAACCATCTTGTGTCCACATGGGGGCAGCCATCTTGTGTGTTGGAGTGATGATCAATTTGCATATTACTCTTTTATTCGATAGGATGTGAACATCTATGTCTTACAATGTACATACCGTGTTTCCCCGAAAATAAGACATCCTCCAAAAATAAGACCTACTTACAGGTTTCCTTCTGAGTGACATATAAGGCATCCCCCAAAAATAAGGCCCCCCTAGGCTAAACATAAGAGATTTGGTCCACTGATTCTGAAAGAAATGGAGTCACAAGAAATTCACCAGGAAATTCAGGAATTGGATTGTTATGATGATGTTCCAGAAGATGATGACATGATTGTCATTGAATAAATGAGTAAATTCTTGATACTGTAGGATTCACAGTTTGTCTGGTTTGTGTTAAACAACGACCGTACTACCATACCGTATTCAGGTAATAAATTTCCTTTATTTTCATTTAACAATAAATGTGTACCGTATTCTTCTTCATGGAAAAATAAGACATCCCCTGAAAATAAGACCTAGCGCATCTTTTGGAGCAAAAGTTAATATAAGACACTGTCTTATTTTCGGGGACACAGGGTAGTAGTAATGTATATGTATCCTTAAATGCGTTTAAGTCGTCACGATGCCCTGCAAATCATGTCCCCGTGTAACCAGCGCCCGGATGGAGGAAGAGAAGGTTGCCAGGCTCCCTCACTCTGTGCGGGGCCGGGCAGCACCTGCTCTGGCTTTGTGGCCATGGCCTTCAGTGACCACGTGGCCCCGGCGCCCTCCATTGCTGTGTCTGTCCCTCCAGCACATGTGGCAGCGTCCCCTGCACTCAATGAGCATTTGTGGTGACTAATGGGGCGGGCCTTACCCGTCCAGCGGGCTGCTTCCTGTGATGCGTGCGCCTTTGTGTGGTGCTCACACCGGGCTGCCCGCCCCCTTCCGCCCGGCCAGCCGGAGCCCTCGCTGTGGGTGGGCGGCCAGTCTTTCGTGGGGCCACGTGGGGCACGTGCTGCTCCCAGTCCGTGCTCTGCCTGCACGCTGTGAGGGGCTGTCTGGTGAAATGGAGTGCCTTTTCATGCAGTGAGGTGTTCTGACGTCACTGGTCTTGTTGAAGAAGCCAGAACGGTGTCCGCCTTCCCTCCTGGGCGCTTGGCACTTCCACGCTCGGGGCCGGCAGTGGCTCCCCGCCCTGCGTGTCATGAGGCAGGGCTAGCTCGCTGCTTCCACACGCGATCAGCCTCCTCGCTCCATTCTCTGTAAAGTCCACCCGCCCTGCCTCGAGGCCCTGGCAGCGTTCTGTCCTGTTGGTCCGGGCACCAACGCCGCCTCCTCAGAGACACCGTCCTGGTCAGCAGGTGGTCAGCCCCGGCCCTCGCCCTCCAGGGGTTTCTGAGTCCGTTTGTCAGGTTCCAGCAAGAAAGCAGTGCCTGCCGGGCGTTTGCTGTTTGGCCTCCTCAGTCCACGGGGAGTGGGAGGAGCTGTTTCCACCTGCTTTGTATTTTCTAGACTCTCCCCCTCAAGCTGCAGACTCTTCTGTGGAGAAGTTCTGCAGGCATTCGGAAGGTTGTCTCCTAGGACTTCCTATGTTTGATGCTATTTGAAAACGCTATTTTCTAAAATCCATGGTCTGTGTCTGGTACCTAAAACCGTGGCGGTTTCCCCTGTTGACATGGAATCCGGAGTTCTTGTTGAATTCGTTTGTCCTAAGACTTCATTTGTGGACTCTCCTATTCCTGAGCATACAGCCAGCTCCCCTGTGAACAATGATGGGGTGTTGTCTCTGGTCCCAGTGTCATCCTTTTCGCCCCTCTTTCTTGCTAACCCGCCCTGATCCCCACAAGATGTGCCCTTGCCGCATTTCTGATCCTGGGGCTCTCGGTCCCTCACCAGGCCGGGGAGGGGGGGTGAACAGGGGAAGGGCCCATGGCTGGTGGTCGGAAGCGGTGTAAGGCAATGCTGAGTGCCCGGGGTACCTCCTCATCTGGTCTGTGGTCCTCTCAAATCCCCAGTCAGCCCCCAGTCACCCCTCAGGAACATTAAAATGGCACCACAGCAGCTTGCCATGATGGGGTGGGGTGGGGTGGGGCAGGGGGAGGGGGAGAGTCCCGTGTCCCTCATTCCCCTCCGCAGCCGCCGCTCTGAGATGTAGAACAGGAAGCCCACCACCCTCCTCCCCAGGCCCGGGTGTGTGTGGGGGGGAAGGGGGCTTTATTCTCATTGTCTAGAGCCCAGTGTGTCTGTCAGGAGAAGAGTCCAGCTCACACCTGAGACCACGCGCTCCCTGAGGCCAGCTCCCGGCCCAGAGCCCTGTCCTGGGTGCTCCTCACCTGCCGAGGGGGGAGGAGGCGGCTGGGGCTGGAGGGGCGGGAGGAGGTGGTCGGCAAACTGCGGCCCACGAGCCACAGGCAGCTCTTTGGCCCCCCGAGTGTGGCTCTTCCGCAAAATGCCACGGCCTGGGCGAGTCTGTTTTGAAGAAGTGGCGTTAGAAGGAGTTTAAGTTTAAAAAATGTGGCTCTCCAAAGGAATTTCAATCGTTGTGCTGTTGATATGTGGCTCTGTGGACTCATGAGTTTGCCGACCACTGGGTTAGGATGCCCCAGAGATTGACAGCGGGAAGCCCTCTTTCCCGCCACAGACACGCGTGCTGTGCTGCTCACTGCTGCCTCCTGATGTTGTAGAATTTTACAGAAACCGACCATGAGGGCACCAGCATCCTCCGTCGCCGGGACATAAAGAACGCGCTGTACGGCTTCGACATCCCCCTCACGCCGCGGGAGCTGGACAAGCTGTGGATGCGGTGAGCGCTCCTTCCCGGCACAGCCTGCCTTCCGTCACTGCTGGGGGGAGGGGGCCTGTCTGTCTGGGCCCTGCGCCCCGGCTCCTGTGCCCGCACCCCGGCTCCTGTGCCCGCGCCCCGGCTCCTGTGCCCGCGCCCCGGCTCCTGTGCCCGCACCCCGGCTCCTGTGCCCGCACCCCGGCTCCTGTGCCCGCACCCCGGCTCCTGTGCCCGCACCCCAGATCCTGTGCCCGCACCCCGGCTCCTGTGCCCGCACCCCGGCTCCTGTGCCTGCGCCCCGGCTCCTGTGCCTGCGCCCCGGCTCTGTGCCCGCGCCCCAGCTCCTGTGCCCGCACCCCGGCTCCTGTGCCCGCACCCCGGCTCCTGTGCCCTGTAGCAAGCAGCCTGGTTAGCATCCCCGTGGCAGCACCCCGGGCAGATGTCTGACACACTTCCACCTCCGGGTCCAGGTCCCTGTCTGAACCCCGTCCCAGGGCTGCGCGCCCCCATCCTCTCGGGGCACGCTCACGAAGCGCCCAGGCCACTTCTCAGCCCTCCATGTGTCCCGATGGAGGGCGGGTGTGGGCCCGTCTGGAATCGGTGGGCTGCTTGTGTCTAATTTAGAAAGCAACTTGAGATTCTTCCTTTGTCAGATCAGTTCCCCCTGGGCCAGGGAGCCCCGTCTGCTTTCTTTCTCTGGAGTCAGATCGGGGTCCCTCTGATGGCCGAGGGCTGGGGCGCAGCGGGCACACGCGTGGGCTCCCTTACAGACAAGAGAGTCATCTTCTTCATTGTAACAGTGAAGACAGGCAGGGGTGGCTGTCCCGGGCGGGGTCCGCGCTCCCTCAGCCTCTCGGCCCCCGAGGAGCAGAGGGGGCTCGCTCTGCCACGCAGGCAGCGCCGCATTGCCCCGGAGCGTGACCCACAACCTCTTTAAACACAGGCCTGGTCCCAGGCTAGGCTCCGAGTTCCCCTAGCCCCGTGGTCGGCAAACTCATTAGTCCGCAGAGCCAAACATCCACAGCACAACGATTGAAATTTCTTTGGAGAGCCAAACCTTTTAAACTTAAGCTTCTTCTAGCGCCACTTCTTCAACATAGACTCATGGTACTTCAGCACAGACAGGTGAGGCATTTTGTGGAAGAGCCACACTCAAGGGGCCAAAGAGCCGCAGGTGGCTCGTGAGCCGCAGTTTGCCGACCACTGCTCTAGGAAATCGCACCCGCAAGTGCCATCTGTATTGGTCAGATGAGGACCAAAATCTGCTGTTAAAATAAATAAGGCTTTTTTTTCCCCCCTTTAAAGAAAATTGGCAATTTGCCATAAAACGCTTTATTTGAAGTAATTCTATTCCAATGACGTTGGGAGATAAAGCCCTCCATTGTGCCCTTTTGAGTGAATTATGACTCAGGAGGAGGTCAGTGATAGGAGGCGACACCAAAGGTGCAGAGTAACTCTCCTCTCCCTCCTGCCGTCTCCCTCCGGCCTGTGCCCGGCACCGCTACAAAGGCAAGGCGGTTCCACTCCCGGGCTCCCCTCGCCGGCATGAAGCTTTCCGTGCTTTCTGAGGCCTTTCCTCTTCCCGCACTCCTCCCGGCGGCTCCGTGACACGCTGCCCGGAGCCTTCCCGCGGGCACAGCGGGTTCCAGCCGGCAGCTTGGCCGGCGAGCAGACGCGGCTGCTGTCTGGTGGGGTGGCCGGGACACCTTGTCTGGGTGCTGTCTGTGGGGGTGGCCGGGACCACCTTGTCTGGGTGCTGTCTGTGGGGGTGGCCGGGACACCTTGTCTGGGTGCTATCTGTTAGGTGGCCAGGACACCTTGTCTGGGTGCTGTCTGTTAGGTGGCCGGGACACCTTGTCTGGGTGCTGTCTGTGGGAGTGGCCGGGACACCTTGTCTGGGTGCTATCTGTTAGGTGGCCAGGACCTCCTTGTCTGGGTGCTGTCTGTGGGGGTGGCCGGGACACCTTGTCTGGGTGAGCCCCGTGGGACGAGCAATGGTTACACACACACACACACACACACACACACACACACATACACACACCCGTGCCTGTGCGTGGCCTGGGGACTTGGTAAATGCAGGCTCCGAGCAGGTGGCCTGAAGCCCGAGGTCCTGGTCACCGGGCCCGGGTGAGCCGGTGCTGCTGGCCGGCGGAGCTGCGTGCGCGGGGCCGGGCGCCCTGGCGGCGCCGTCACAGCGGCACTGACGGCGTTTGCTGTGTCTGCAGCTATGACACCACGGGGAGGGGGCACGTCACGTTCCCCGAGTTCGTGCAGCAGCTGGGGATCACGTACTCGGCGGACGTGCACCGGCCCTACTCGGAGGACCGCTCCAACTTCATGGGCCACTTCACCAAGCTGCCGCCGCAGCAGGAGCCTCCGCGGGAGCCGCGCCCGGAGCAGCGCCCGGAGCAGCGCCCAACACCGCCACCGTCGCTGCCACCGCCACCGCCACCGCCTCCTCCTCCTCCTCCGAGCAGGGATGAGGCTGAGCCAGCCAGGTGAGCCAGGGCGTGTCCCGGGCTGGGAGCCCCATCTGACCGCCCGCATCCGAGCAGACATCGTTCTGAGCTGCGGCCTCCGGGCTGGCGAGGGGATGAAGCTGACTGTGCGTTCGCTGCCGGGTGTTGGGCCCGGTGCTATCACAGCCCTGCAGAGTGCCCGCCAGGCCCGCCCTCTGCCCGGAGACTGTCCCTCTCAGGCATCACTGCGTGCCCAGCCCTGCCCGGGCAGCTGGGACACAGGGGCGTGAAGACACTCCTGACTCAGCCAGCGCCTGACACCAATAGGCCCGGCAAATATCTGCAGAATGAGTGAGTGAGCGAGTGAGTGAGTGCGTCTCAGACTCAGTGCGTCTGTGTTAAGGACTTTAGGCCAGAGAAATAACGCAGCCGAGGCCCTCAGGTCAGCAGTGGGCAGGGATGCTTGCCGGAGTTCCCACGCTGGTCCCAGGGAGCGCGGGGTGTGAAGAGGGGCCCCTAAGGCCACGAAACCGCTGCTGCCCCGCTGCCTGGACGGCGTGTGTGACCGAGGGCTGAGGAAAGGCCTTGGGCGGCAGCCTGTGTGACTGCAGGGCCCGGCCGCGGGGCCCAGGAGGGGCGTGCAGAGGTCCCGCCAAGCCGTGTTGGACCGTGGGACCAGGAGGGTCATCTTCACATGGAAAACCAGTTACCAATGGCGTACCTTAAAAGTGTGTGGCATGGGAGCGGGCTTTGCCCGCTGGAGTGACCACAGAGCTGGGCAGATTTTCCTGGCCGGTCTCCGTCCTGGTCCCCCATCGGCACTGCCTGGGCCTGGGCCCTGCCCACTGCCCCCTGCCCCCTGCTGCCTGGGACTGTGCCACCTGCTGTCACTTTGGCTCTGGCCCCACCCCTCAGAGAGCCTGCGAGTAAGTGAGTGACTTGTTGCTGAAGAACCCCCAAAGGCAATAAGAGGCCCAGCAGCGCAGAGGGTGTGTGTGTGTGTGTGTGTATGTGTGTGTGTGTGTGTAAAGGGGAAGGCAGCGTGCCGCCCTGATTGGGAAGTGACTGAGTTATAAAGGATGGAGTTTGGAAAGTAAGGGAAAATATGCCTAAGACTGGTATAAACCAAACGTGCCCCAGCACTAATGAAAAGGTGGGTTTATCTTTACCAGGCAGGCCGGCCTCGTTACCCGCCCTCCCCCCCCCCCCCCCCGCCGTGTGAGCAGCGAGGTGGGAGGGGGCGCCCAGCCCCACCCCCCGGCCGCTCTGCCCTGTCCTCCCACTGGGAGCCGTGGAGCGGGAGGGATTCCTGACCGCCGAGCCCAGCCACCCTCTCGCCGCCTCGGCGGGTCAGCCTCCTTCTACTCCATTAACCACAGCCCCCGTTTTCTCAACGCCGTCGGGGCAGCACTGTCCGTGGCCCTTCAGACGCCGCGTCTAAGTGCCGGGCAGCAGTCCCCGGGTCATCCTTAAGGTCCAGTGTTTCCCGGACTCTCCCCTCGTTTCTCCTGACTGATGAGATTGGCAGACAGAGTGACCAGCGGTGGTGCATTTGCCTCTTAAACCTGAGGGATGGTTTTGTCTGAAGTGCATGACGCATTGTTTGCATTTGGAAAAGCCCTCTTTCAAACTCGGGTGTTTCCCAGGCCTTGCTTTTTCTCTGCCCGAGTCCGAGCTGACGACTTGGAATCAGTGCCGCCCTCGGGGCCGGCCACCTCTGGGCCATCCTAGGACAGAGCGCCCGGGCCGCTCGGCCGCCGCCTCAGAGGCTGTGGGGGCGCGGTGGCTGTCCAGGTCCTGACAGCGGCCCCTGGGCTTCCGTGTCGCTGTTCAGACCAGGAACCGGACGGGAACCAGAGCCGCATCGGTCACCGTGCGGCGAGCTCTGTGCTCTGAGCCTCACTCAGGCGTGGACAGGCCGCTGCTGAGTGCGGCAGCAGAGGCTTGGGGAGACCTGGTGGGGAGGAGTGCCATCCACAGCTGACCACACTCTCAGTCCCGACATTCTTTGTGGCCAGAGAACTTTCCCGAGAAGCAGAATCAGCACGTTCTGCAGGAAAACCAGCCTCTAGCGGAGCGTGCCCGCTGCCCGAGGGCCGTCTCCTTCCCGTCTGTCCAGTGGGGAGACCGGGACCCTCCCCGCAGGGCAGTCGGGAGGAACAAGGGGAAGGGCACACGGCGAGGCCCGGGCTGGCCAGTTGCTGTGACAGATGGTGGCAGTTTCCAACAACAAAGAGCCTGAATCAAAACGAGGGTCTTGGGCCTCCCCTCTGCCGACCCTGACTGGCCCTCCCCCCTCTCCCCCCCCGTGACCCCACCAGCGCAGCCGTGGCCCCCGCGCTACTGTGCCCAGGTAGCTGCCCACCAGCTCCTCCAGCTCAGGCTTGCTCCTGGGCCACTTCCCAGTGACGCCTACCCACACCCTCTCCCCCGTGCCACTCCCAGTCCTGCCGGGCTCCCTCCTGACCCACTAACCCTGTGCAGGGCGGGCACGGGTGCCTTCAGTGCCATCCGCCTCCGCTGGAATGTAACTAGTAGCGGCCACTCGGAGTTACTGGGTGTGCCCCGGTGCCCACAGCAGTTCTGGCAGGTGCCCAGGGAGCCTTTATGGGGGACATCACATCTGTATAAAACCTCTGCTTTGCATTCTGGGCCCCACTCTCTGCACTGGTTCTGTAACAAGACAAGACAGTTCCTCCTGCGCAGTTGGCTGGTGGTGATAATGTGGTAGGCACACACACTTATACCTCTCTGCAAATGTCACTCCGAGGCTGCCAAACAGCTTCAGACTCAGTTCTTTTTTTAAAATACATTTTTATTGACTTCAAAGAGAAAAGGAGGGAGAGAGAGAGAGAGAAACATCAATGATGAAAGAGGATTATTGATCGCTGCCTCCTGCACGCCCCCTTCTGGGGATCAAGCCCACAACATTCCCCAACTGGGAATCAAACCTGGGACCCTTCAGCCCATAGGCCAACACTCTGTCCCCTGAGCCAGACTGGCCAGGGCCGGAGCCAGTTGACAGATGGGAGTGATCAACGTGGCGCATTTGCCTCTTAAACCTCGGGGATGTCACGTTGGGTGGTGGTGAGACCCTCACCTGAGGCAGTGCGTGCTCTCCTGTGGGCTCTGACCCGTGTTCTCGTCCAGGGAGAAGCTGAAGGGCCACTGTGAGGACATCAGGAAGGCGCTGGCCAAGCTGGACACGGGCGGCAGCGGCTCGGTGTCCCTGTTCCAGCTGCAGCGGGCGCTGCGGGACGGCGGCGTTCCCTTCAAGGAGGCGGAGCTGGCCGCGCTCCTGGGCAGGTTTGCTCTCGCTGGAGTCCGGGCGGCTTTCCTTCCTCCTCCTCTGTCCAAACAGACTGACATTGCAATGGCCCACACCTCCTCTGGCCCGCCGCATGCTAATGGGCTGGAGTCACCAGGAGCAGAAGGAAAAGCAGCTTAACTGTTAGCGATGCTGGCGGGGAAGCTTAGTTACAGTTCGGTCAGTGAGTGAAAGGAAGTTCAGGCGTCATTTCTAAGCCAGGCGTTGGGAGGGCTGCGCCCAGCTCGTCATGGCAAACCCAGGAGTCTTTTCTACGTCGGAGGGAAGCTGGTTCTTTGCCTGAGCCCTGTCCAAGGACGTCGGGGAGGGTGGTTGCTTAACCGCCACTGGCTTCCAGGAACACAGGCTCAGGCCAGGCTCCATGTCCAGCTCCAGCTTCCCCCGCACCTGCCCCACTGCCTGTCCTCCCGGGCTCTTCCCCTGGTGCTCCATCCTAGCGCCCGGCCCTCCTCCTGTCCTAGGTCCCATGCCCAAGAGCCTCCCTGCCTGCCCCATCATGCTCCTGGGCTGGACGCCCCCATTCCCAGCTTTTCACATCTCTCTTTCTTAACTCACATCCTTACTTTGCTGGAGTACTTCCCGACGTAATTTCCTAAGAAAGGATGGACAGGAAGTAAATGTTCTGAGTTCTTGTTTGTCTGAAAACTCTGAGATTCTTTCCCACACAGATTGATGACTTATGTGAGCATGAAGTCCTAGGGAGGACATTCTTTTCCCTTAAAATGTTGAAGACATCCCACCATTGTGTTCAAGCTGTGAGAAGTCCCATGCTAGCGTGTGTGTGTGAGTGTGTGTGTGTGTGTGTGTGTGTGTGTGTGTGTAGAGAGAGAGAGAGAGAGGAGGGGACCATTCATGCTCAGATGCCTGTGTGCTCTCCTTCCTGAGATAGGGTCTCCTCTCAGGAAACGTATTTCCAGCTGAACAAGAATTCATATGCACTCAATGAATAAATCATGGGAAAATAGCACCCGACAAATAATTCACTAAATGAGTGTAAGTCTTTTAAAAAATAGCGAGTCTCGGTGCATTTGCAGACGACAGAAGGACTGTGGGATGTTTGTGGTCCACCTTTCAGCGGGGCGACCCTTCCTTAGGGATTGAAACCTCAATGAGGGGCCCCGGCGCGGGTGCTTTTCCTTCTCAAAGACCTCTTGATGAGAAACAGCTCCGTTATTTGTAATTATATGTAGATTATTCTTTTCTAGATCCAAAATAGATCTTTCTAAATAATACCAAGAAGATTAGCATATGCATTTGATTTTATTACTAAATTTTAATACCAACTTGGCAGTTTACCCTGCTGATGAAGTAGAGCTGATTACCCTCTCCCTGTGTCTCCGTCGTGAGCCAGCGCTGTGGGCTGGGCCGGGCCGGCTGATCTGCAGCTGTGGGGCGGAGACACGGCTCTGGCTCCTGCTCCTCAGAGCACGTCTCCGAGTCCCTGGGAGCTTCTCCTACCTCAGAGCTTCTCCCCCTGAGTCCCTGGGAGCTTCTTCCTCCCCAGGAGCTTCTCCCCCTGAGTCCCTGGGAGTCTCCCTCCCCGGGAGCTTCTCCCTGTGCTTGGCAGGAATCCAGGTTCCTCCTCTTTGACACGCTCCTTTCTGCTGAAAGAAAGTGTAGGTGATGAAACACCAAAGAAACTTGTGACGGAAATGGGAGCTCTGAGTGCAGTGAAACTTGGAGTTATTTGCATCCTCAGTAAACTTGCACTATGTTCTCATGGCACCTTGGGGTCCCCCCCATGTGTTCTTGCAGGGTTACAGGCACTGTGTGCTGGAGCGGAGGCAGGAGGGCCCGTTTCCACGGGGATGTCCTGCTGACACCTCACTCAGGCGGACTGTCCCCTGAGAGACTGCTCAGCTAAGTGGTTCTGTGCAATGTCTTGCAGCTTGGCCGCTCAGCTTCCGCCATTCCTGTGAAGGGGTGATCGGGTGCTTTGCTCCGTCCTCCGTCCCCTCTCCCTTTCCGCTGTCTTTGCTGCATTTCTCTTCTCTTCAGATTCAGATTCCCCAGCTGCTCCTCAGGGCAGGGTCTCATCAGCTAAGACCTCCAGGACCAACCCCTACCCTCCTTCACCATCCCCCTGGCCCCGCCCCCACTCCACAGGCCTGCCTCCGACTACCCCGGAGCACTGCTCTGCCCATGCCAGCTCTGCCCCGGCGCCTGCTTGCCCCGGTCCTCAGTGGGGCCTCTTGAAGCTTCTCTCTGGCTGAGCCCTGTTGTCAGCCTTCACGCCTCGGAGCCTCAGGCCAGGCCCCTGTGGCCTCACCGGCCGGCAGGGCCCACAGGCTCCCCTCCCCCCCTGACCCTCTCCCAGAGCGGGCAGGTTCTGTGTGCCCGCACGCTGTGGCTGATGGGTATGCAGGCACACAGGCGCCCACAGGCCGGGGCACGGTGCCTTCCCCTTATTCCTGCTCTCCACCCCATTCTGTGCTCAGCTCGCGAGTGTTGAATGAATAACTGATAGGGTTTTTTAATTAATATATTCTTTCCTTTTTCTTCTTCCTTGGGGACCAGTTTGGGAATCAGCTGGCAAAACAATTCCATCAATTACCTTGACTTCTTGAGGGCAGTGGAGGACAACAAGCCATCCGGGCCTGAGCCGAGGGAGAGTGAGGCGGCCGTGCCTGTCAATTTTGCGAAGCTGAGCCCGGAGGAGATCCTGAAGAGCGTCCAGAGAGTGGTGGCCGCCAGCGGCCCGGCGCTGGCCACGGTACGGCAGACCGCTCCCAGCGCGGACCCGCCGCCGGGGATTCGTGCGGACCGTGAGGGAGGGCTGCGAGCCCGTCCCTCCTCCGGACCCCCTCCACGCCCCTGGTGTCCCACCTCCGAGGAGTGGCTCGGATCATGTGCTCAGTGAGCAGGTGTCTGTCCGTACTTGCTGCAGACAGAGCCCCCGTGCCCTGGCTGCTGGCATTATCCCATATACCAAAGGTTGCAGGTTCGATCCCTGATCAGGCACATGCCTAGGTTGCAGATTTGATCCCCAATCAGGGCACGTACGGGAGGCAACTGATCGATGTTTCTCTCTCTCTCTCTCTCTCTCTCTCTCTCTCTCAAAAGTTATGAGGCCGGGGTTCCCTTCATGCCTCTTCCAATTCGTATCCAAATAGGAGTGGATAGAGCGCATGGCCTGCGAGTCTGGCATGGCGCAACCATCAGGCCCGCCGGTGCCCCAGGCCCCGCACCTGCTGAGGGGTCAGCAGGCGGCACGCACTCGGCCTGTTCGCATCGCGCAGGAGCAGCACAAGGACAGCACTCGGGAACGTTCACTGGACTAGCACCTGCCTGTGTCTTCCTCCCGCAGGCATTCTCTGCCCTGGACAAGGAGGACACGGGATATGTGAGGGCCTCGGACTTCGGCCAGGTGCTGAAGGACTTCTGTCACAAGCTGACAGACAACCAGTTCCACTACTTCCTGCGGAAGCTGCGGCTCCACCTGACGCCCTGCATCTGCTGGAAGTACTTCCTGCAGAGCTTCGGCGGCTTCCTGGAGGAGGTGAGTGCCCGCAGCCCCGGGCACGCGGCTGGCTCGCGCTTTTGCAGAGCGGGTGACCGGTTAAAAGCAGGTCCCTGAATGGGCAGGCACCTGGGCCGTTGGCTCATTCCGAAGGAAGCATCGGTATAAAGACTATGAGAAGGTGAACATGTAGCTTTTACTTCGTTTGAAAGTTACTATCTTATTTTCAGAGACGCTTGTGAACGTGCTTTTGTGTGGTTGTGTAGAGTGCTCGGGATTCTCAGGGCCCTGGAGATGGTCTGGGGTCCAGAGAAGTGAGGCCCCGAGTGGCAGTGAAGGAACTGGGACTCACTCGGGATGCATTTGTTGAGGACCCACTATGTGTCGGGCCCGCCCTAGGCCATGTTCCAGGCAGTCCTGGGGCAGCGGGAAATATGGAGGTAGTGAGCATAAACAGATGTACAATCAGCAGGCCCCAGGGGAAATCAAGGAGGACTTCCTGGAGGAGGGACGGTGGCTGACCATGGGGCTCATATTTCTTCCCGAGGACTGCTGCTTTGGCTGCACAAGAAGTAAATTCTTAGGGGGTTTCTTGATTTGAAGGGAGTTGAGGGACCTTGGGGTTCGCCGTCACCCCACCGGGGAAGAGTCCTTGCACGGAAGGTCGGCAGCGCTGCCGCCGCCAGGAAACCGGGGTTTTGCCTGGAACCTGGGGACTCAGCCTCTGCACTCACCACGCAGGTCCCCAAGCCCGAGAGCGGGGCGCCTCCCTGGGTGGGGTGCAGGGCCAGTTCCTCCCGGTCCGGATCCACAGCGGTCCCCGTTCGCCTTCATCCGGCCTCGGTGACGCTCTGTCTGTGTGACAGGCGGTGTTGTTGCTGTTGTTATTTTTAGCTTTCATTAATCCACTGTAAATAAAATGAAGACACAGTACAATTAATTCTTTCGCTAATCAAAATATTTGATCACATGAAGCAATTTTTCAATTCCTGGGAGTAATTGCACTGTTCTTACGGAGCGGAGGCGTCCTCTGAGCATCTAACAGCCACTGTCCCTGCGTGTTTCTCCTCCCGCCGGGGGGGAGGGGGAGGGAGCCGGGGGGCTCACTGCCTCCCTCCGCGCTCAGGACACCCCGTGAACCCCAGTTCCAGCAGCTCCCTGTGCCCAACACAGGTGCAGGAATGCACCGACCCTACAAGCCACGTGTCTGACCATGGCTCCCGGGCAGGTGGGGAGGTGACATGGCCCCTTGTCATGCCGCTGTGCCCCGAGCCGTCCGCTTTCCTTCCTCCTCCCTGTCACCCCCCGTCACTCCTGACCTTCCCCTGGCCCAGCAGAGCCCAGAGTGCTCCAGAGCAAGGGCAGGGCAGTACCCGCCTCCTCAGTGGGAGGAGCCCAGGGTCACAGGGTGAGACGCCAGGAGGAGGGCAGAGGGGCCTGGAGGCTGCGTACGGGGAACAATCGATATGCGTGCTTCCCCCGTGGGTCCCGTCCAGCCTCCTGTCCCGGCGGCTCCATCCTTATGTGGAGGCGGTTCAGGAGACGACGGGTGGTGTCCGTCGGCGAGGACGTGCGTGGACGTGGCTGTTGACAGGAGAGTGAGCTCTTTTCTGGGTCAGTCCATGGCAGAGCGGTGGACACAGCGTGACTGACACTTTCCGAGTTCCCTCAGTTGTGCCCGGGCCAGGGGTCGCCGGGCTGGCGTGAGGCGCTGGATGATGGCAGGGCTGGCTGAGCTGCCAGAGGAAGGACGTGGCTGGGACCCCAATACCTGCTGCAGGCACCCCCACTGGCAGCCGCAGCGTGTGCCCCGGGAGGAGCCCTAGCTGGGGCCACGGCAGGGCCACAGGTGCCTGGCCAGGCGGAGAGCCCGGAGCCGGACGGGAGGGGTGGGCTCAGGGGAATTCTGTGCAGCCCCACCTGGGCTGCCGCCCTCGGACCCCCAACTCACAAACGGCAGGACTCAGAGCCGCAGGCTCCCACTGTGGAGCTATGGCTTTAAAAAAAGGTTACTTACTTTAGAGCAGCGGTTGCCAACACGTGGTCTGTGAGGTCCGAAAGGTTGGTGACCGCTGGTTTAGAGAGAGAGGACGGGAGAGGGAGAGAGAGAGACATGGACCAGCTGCCTCCTGCACGCCCCTGACAGGAATCAAGCCCAAACCCAGGCACGGGACGACCCCCAACAACTGAGCCACCGGCCTGGGTGACCTGCTTTTCACCATAGGAGATCAGCGGGTGCTTTTAAAATGGAGGCACACTCTAAATGTGAGGCGTGACTGCCGGCTCTCTGCGCACCGTCCTTCATCCACTGGGCGTCACTTCTTTTGTGTCTTCCGGCGAGGAGATACGTTTCTTCTCGCTCTAGAAAAAGCGCTGCTTCCCCATTCAGAGTGGTGATCACATGACAAGGGCAGGGACACAGACGCTCCAGACCGGGAGCCACCTGCTCGTCCTGCCTCGGGAGCGGGCTGGCCGGTGGGCACGGGGCTGAGCAGCCTGGGAGTCCGAATGTGGGCGTCTCGCAGGCCCCCAGCCTGTGCCCTCAGGAGGCAGGCGGCCCTGCCGGGGCCTGGGCTGGGGTCTCGGGGAGGGAGCAGTTGGGTCACAGCTTCAGGGCTGGGGACCTTCGGGTCAGCGCCCGTCCCTCGTGCACCTGGGGGCAGCAGCTGCGGGGGTGGCTGGGGATTTTGGGGATTTTGTTTTTTCCTTGTGTCTGTAGTTTTTACGTCTTTACAGCGAGCACGCAGTGATTACTTTTGCAAACACTGAAGGGATGTCTGTACTGCATCAGACGCACCTCCCACAGCGATATCCGCCTCTCCCGCCCCCGAGGCCCTTCCCACCAGACAGGCCGCCCCTCAGCACCCTCTCTGCCGGATCCCTGATTCCAGCACTTCCCGGCCCTCCCTGCGTGGCCCTCAGCAGCAGAGCGGGGACAGTGAGTGACGCCTGTGGCCACGGGCGTCCGTGGCTTTGCACCTGCACTTCCTCCTCCGCCCAGGCTGCTGCTCCCGGGGAGGCCCGCTCCTCAGAGCGCACGCCTGGTTGTCCCTCTGCGCCCCCTGCGCTGACCCCCCAGGGTCACTGCGTGCGGCCCTGCAGGTCTCCTGGGCGCCCTCCTCTGTGACACACCCTGCTCCTGTCACACCCTCGGGCTCTGTGCTCTGTGACCAGGGGACCTGAGCCCTGCACAGGAGGGCGGGGACCCTCTCAGGCACATCTCACGGAGCTGGAGACCAGCCCTCATGAGTGTTCCTCACGACCAGACGGTCCCCACCCCCGGCCTGGGCACCCCTGCCCCGCAGAGCGGCCAGACTCCTGGCTCCCAGGTACGCACTGCCCTCCCAGGCCCCACTCCTTCCAGAGCGGGTGCCATACGCAGCGGAAGGTGACTGAGCGGGAGCAGGAAGTGACCGACCGGGGCGAGGGTGGGTCCACACTGCATGCGGGGCCAGGGGGTCTGGGGGGGGGGGTGGATGTGGGGACGGAGAGAGATGTCGCGGGGACTCCGGGCCCAGGCGGCTGGAGGGACACGTCCTCTGGCTGAGGCGGAGCCATCAGCGGGCCTGTGTTTGGCAGTTGATGGCCCAGGAGGGAAGAAAGAGCCTCCATTATGGCACTGGAGGCTCTGCCTTGCCCAGGGCCACCTGGGCCCACCATCCGCTTCTGTGACGTGTGACGCTCTAACAAACGGGCCTGTGACGTGACAGCCCAGCCGTAGTGCAGAGCTGTGTCCCTGAGCGTCAGAGTGGGTCTCCACGGGCTAGTTGCATATTTAAGACCTCCCTGTCCCATCGTGATTACATCACATTCATGGCATTTTAACACCCGGTAGGTCCAAAGCCTCATTACTAGCCTTTCCCAAAGGTGTCATGGCAGCGCTCACATGCTGATTTTCCTACCAGAAGTCCGGTGCACGGAAGTTTGTACACTCGGCCGGCCTGCTCCCCCTCACAGTCCAAGAGCCCTTGGGGATGTCCCACTGATGGTGTAGGCCGGCTCCCCACACGGAGGAGCCTGAGCTGCAGTCTGGCCTCCTGCTGCGGGGGAGGCACCACCCCCATCACTCGCCGCTGCCGTCAGCCCTGGCCGCTGCCGTGGCTTTGTGAAGGACGTTCGGCTGTCTGGTCCAATTAGCATATTATGCTCTTATTATTATAGATAGCAACTTTAATACCAGGATGTATAATAATTCCTCCAAATGTTCCTTGGTCTTTTTATTAGACTCTTACTAGATTTACTTACAGTTTTATCTTTGGAAATTATAGAGGGCCGCCTGGGAGGGCACATTGGACATTTCTTTAAATTGTCAGCTGAATCTGAGGCGACTGGCAGAGCCACATCTAGGATACACATTTCCCCAAGATGGCGGATGGTGTAATCAGCTTGGCCTTCATATCAGCCCAGGTGTCGGCAGGGGTGGGTCTAGATATGTAAATCCAGTCAACCTCCAGGAATGCTCTGGCCTACTTAAGAATGCAAATAAGCTCCTTCGATTCTAAGTTTCTGGTGTTACTTCCTGGTATTGGGGGTATAAGTAAATGTGCTTAGTGGCTCAGGGTCCTCGTCTTCCTGCCTCTCCATCAGAGAGGAGAGCATCCCACCCAGCTCCCAGCTTTTAAATATATTTCTACATCTTCTTTCTTTCTATTATTTCTCAATCCCTGGCCACCTCCACTTAGAACGGGTTTGTTCATCTCTCTTCCTGTGCTGACCGAGATTTGATGCCCTTTCCCCTTTGTTGACATGAGCTTTGTTAATGGAATGGAAGGATTTGCTAATTCTCAAAAATCCTTAAGCTTGGAATAAACGCTACTTAAACTTGGTGTGCCGTTTTTAAACATGGTGCTAAACATTCCTAGTGGCTTTCTTTAAAAACACATTAATGTCTTGGCATTAATGTCCATAAATTAGGTTGGTTTATATTTTTTCCCTTGAAGTATTTGCTTTATCCTATTTTCTGTTAGGTATTAGGGTGGGGTAATCTATAGTGAACTGAGCTGCTGTATCTCCCTTCCCATATTCTGGGATGCTCTGACTAAGGTGAAAATTATCTAGTTTTTGTTGTTATTGTTAATTCTCACCCAAGGATATTTTTCCCCCATTGATTTTTAGAGAGAGTGGGAGCAGGAGGGAGAGAGAAACAGCGATGTGAGAGAGATGCGTCAATTGATTGCCTCCCGCACAGGCACCTCCGGCCTCTCTCCTCGCAGGAAGCTCCGGGCAGCTGCCCCATGTCTTCACCCTCTGAGCCCGTCTCCACACCTGACTTCCCATAGACCCCAGTCTCCCTGGTGCCCCGGACACACAGAGATCCCGCACTCCCAGCCTCCGCCGGTGGCCACCAGTCCCTCCCCGTTGCCTGCTGGTCCTGTTGTCCTGTCTGCCCACCTCAGGCTCAGCGGGTGCTGAGGGGGGGCCTCCATGGCACCTTCCCAGGAGCCCTCTTCCCGCACCGACGCCCAAACTCACAGCGAGGAAGTTCTTCTGAGGCCCCTCTTCCCGGGCCCTTTTCCCTGGAGCCCAGGCTTCCTGGCTCCTCAGCACCGTGGACAGCGTCACGAGGCCCAGAGAGGACCGCCCCCTCCACCTCCCTGCTCCCCATGCCCACTGCCCAGCACTCCCTGTGGGCACGAAGGGTTTCCCACGGGAGGGCCCGCAGCCGGAGCACTGCCCTCTGACTCCTCTGGTGGAGGAGGGAGGCCCTTTCCAGGCAGAGCAGGCGCTCACTGCCTTAAAGGGACGGAGATGAGACCAGGAATGAGCACCCAGGCACACGGGAAAGCTGGGTCCAGCCTGGCACATCCCTGCCGCCCTGCCCTGCGGGGACTCGGTTTGCTCCTGACATAGCTGAGCAGGAGCCCGTCTTCCGGCCTGTGCGACAGCCTTGTCTCCAGTCACCTTCCTCAGCTGGGATCCCGGGTCTGGGGGTGACCGGCCCAGAGCCCGGGGCCACCCGTCCTTTACCAGTCGGTCCGTTTCCTCTCTCTGCCCAGAATGCCTCCGAATGGGCCGAGAAGATGCCCAAGTGCCCGCCCCCCAAGTCCCCCAAGGAAGCGGCCAACCACGAGATCCTGGCGCGGCTGCACCGAGCCGTGGCGACCCGCTACCAGGCCATCGCCCAGGAGTTCCAGAACTTCGACACCGCCAAGGCCGGCACCGCCTCCCGGGACGAGTTCCGGGCCATCTGCACGCGCCACGTCCAAGTGCTGACGGACGAGCAGGTAGCGGGCGCTGGGTGGGCACCCTGACCCCGGCCTGAGCCAGGCGCCTCCCCGTGGCGCCGGGTGCTGGCGGAACTCTCCTTGGGAAGTGCCTGAAGGGGGGTGTCTTTTCTGGGGAGGGTTGTGGTCGTGGCTGTTTGGTTTTAACCTCACTGAAGACTCGCAGAACCCTCCGTGTCTGCGGCAGGCACAGAGGGCACCATTCCTATCAAAGCAAACAGTGTCACTTTTATTTTCTTATTGTTATTGATTCAAGAGGATGGGAGAGAGGGAGAGAGGGATAGAAACGTCACTGATGAGAGAATCATTGACCGGCTGCCTCCTGCACACCCCACACCGGGGATCAAGCCTGCAACCCAGACATGTGCCCCTGCTGGATTTGAACCTGGGACCCTTCAGTCCGCAGGCCGATGCTCTATCCACTGAGCAACACTGGCCAGGGCTCACTTTCATTTTTAAAGTCAAATTGCATTCAGCTCCAGCAGCCCCTGTGCCGCTGCTCCCCCTACAGCCCTGGGTGTGGGAGAGCCACAGGAGAGGTCAACCCCGCCTGCACGTGTCCCTCCGGCGCCCTCCTCACCCTCCTCGGTCCTTGGCTCAGGGCTGGGCTCTCGGGTGCTCTGGGGCTGCTCCCCAAGCACGCTGCTGGGGCATGCCACCTCGGCTGTCCCACTGTCCACAGCGACAGATGGCACTCTCACCCCAACAACGAGAAAAGGCCAGATAGCTGCGCAATCAGAACTTTTCTCGAGCCCCTGGAGAGCTGAGGGTGCAGGGGGTTCTTGCTCCTCACCGTACCCCTCACTGAACCCCAAATGCAAAGCAGAACCTGGCACCTGGGGCCCAGCAGGTCCCGAAGTGGACAGTGTCTAGTGTGGGCACTCCCCCCACCCCCGAAAGCCAGGGACCGAACAGCTGACAGCACTGCACAGCGACTCACTCGCAGAAGAGGGTTTCCCTTCACCCCAAAATGCTGCCCTGGTGCAGGCCGCTCCGGTCTCCACAGACACAGTGCCCGGTTCCGGAGGGTGACTCGGTGCAGAAGGAAACCCCACACACTGAGGTGCCCCGCTCCCCGCCCTCTGGCCTCCTGCAGGCCCGGGGGTCAGTCTCCCCAGGAAGCCGGTCAGCCGCCTCATGGGGTCAGAGTGTCCACGGGGAGGGGGTCACCAGGCCGCCGCACCCCATTAGGCCTTGCACCTCACTGCCCAGGAGGGGAAGTCCTCAGAGACGCTCCTCAGATGCGCTCAGACTTCCCGTGGCTGAGACATGAGCTCCTCAGGGTCTGAGCCCTTTGGCTCACTAACGTGAGACGCGGCTCCCAATGGTCCGTCCCCGGAGCAGGAGCGCTGCCCGCAGCAGACCGGAGCCCTGCAGAGGGACCCGTGCCCGGTCCTTACTCCGCGGCCCCCGGAAGCCGGCGGCTCTCCAATGAGCCGCTCGTTAGCCGGCTGCCGTTTTACTCCAATTACAGGCGGGATGATGGCGCTCCGCACCGAGCTGTTCGGAACAGGGACCGGGTGTTAATTTTCCTCTGAGCATCACTGTCCCCAGCGCATCGCCCCCCCCCCCCCCCCCAGCGCGGTGTTTAGAGGCTGCTTTCTGAAACCACACGGCCGTCCGTGCGGGAGCGGGCGGCCATGGCGGCCTGTGCTGCTGGGGAAGGTGGTCGCTTTCCACGGGCCCCTCCCCTCCCCCTCGTGGAAGCTTCTCAGGAATCTGAGGTGGCTCCGGGGCGTGTGGCCTCCGGGGAGATGGGTGAGGGGACGGTGACTGCTCGGTCGGTCCTGTCCCTGAAGCTCCCTGCAGGTCTGCGCTCAGTCAGAGAAAACGTTACAGAACTGAATCAGGAATACTGTCCTCAGCCAAACCTCCTCCCCTCTCGGGGCCAAGGACACCCTCCCTTCACCCTCCTCTCCCCCTCACTCCCACATTCCAGTAGGCTCCCTTGTCATTCGCTCTGGGAGCCCAGGAGCAATGGGTTTCTGGCCACAGCCAGGTGTGTGGGAAGGACGGGGACAGCCCCTCCCATGCTGACCGGAGCCGCTGCTCCCCCACATGTGCCAGAGGCGGGTGCCACAGGGCCTTGTGGTAGAAACACAGCTGCAAGCACGTTACCGCCTTCCTGCGCCCTGAAGGCCCGGGCCATTGGCAGGGCTCACTCGGAGGCACTGGGTCATTGCTGTGTCCCTGCTGCTGCGTGTGGCTGTGTCACAGCCCGTGACACCAGACACGGCCTTGCCACGGTGCGAGGCACATTACCCTCGGGGTAAACTGGAGGCCAGCACAGGCTGAGAGCTGGCACCAGGGAGCTGCCTGCACAGCTCAGAGCTGGAGGGGGAGGGGAGTGGGAGCCAGGTGCCTGGAGGGGGAGGAAGGAGGAAAAAGAGGAAGGAGGAGAAGGAGGCGGGGAAGAGAGGGGGGGGGGGGAATGAGGCGGAAGAGGAAGATAAGGGGGAGGAAGGGGAGGAGGGGGGAGAAGGGAGAGGAGAAGAAGGAGGAGGAGGAGTCAGATGCCTAGGGGAGGAGGAAGAGGAGGAGGAGAAGGAGGAGGGGGGAATGAAGGAAGAGGAGGAGGGAGTCTGGCTGGGCAGGCAGGACCACAGGGCCAGGGGTCTGCTTGCATTTTCCCCTCCGTGTTCGTCCATCGTGCATGCCGCTCCGCCCATGACTGATCCCAGGTTTCAGGCCCTTAACCTGTAACCGCTCGCGGAGGCCCGGTCAGTGTAAACATGTCCCTCAGAGCCGCAGCGTCCTCTCGCCCTGCTCCTTCAGGCTTCCGCAGGCTTCCGCCGAGCAGGTTTTCCGTCCGGTTCCTCACTGAGCTGGGCGCGGAGCCCGCCCGCTGAAGGCTGCCTCCGGGCCGGGGCCGGGGTCTGCGCTGACCTGGGCGCCCTCTGCTCCCGCAGTTCGACCGGCTCTGGAAGGAGATGCCGGTCACAGCCAAGGGGCGGCTGCGCTACCTGGACTTCCTGAGCCGGTTCAGCTCTGAGAAGGCGGCCACCCCACCCAGCAGCGGCGACTCCCCCAAGGCCCAGAGGAGGTGCGACGTGCCCGCCACCTCAGAGGGAGGCAGAGCTGTGGGGTCATCATCGTCCACCCGAGAGCCCCCGAAAACGGGGGCCAAACAGCGGAGCCAGCCGTGTGTAAGCTCCCACCAGGGGCGGGTCCCTGTGTCCCCACGGGTGTGGGTGCCCGGGGTGGGGGCACAGGGCAGGAGCAGGCCTCGGGGGAGGGAGGTGAGAGGGGAGGGGTAAGGAGGATTGGAGGCAGGAAGAGGTGGGGGGTGGAGACGGGGCATCCCGGCCAGAAAGCCGATGCCCGAGTCGGTGAGTGGTGCCCAGGGAAGCCTGCCTCACCCGTTCCATGGGGCCGTGCCTCACGCACGCAGACAGGTGCCCCTCTCCTTCCTGACTCTTCACCTGGCGGAAGACAGCATGTCACTCACACGCACACACACCAGGGACACTGAAGTCGCCTCTCTCCGTATTTGAATCTCGGCCAAAAGTCCCGGGTCCCTGTGATCGGGCACAGACACGGCCCACAGCGGAAACACGTCTGTGTGCTCCTCGTGTTACTGCTGAGAGGGCACTGCCTGAGAGCGGAGCTCATGCAGAGTCAGCCTGCGTGGCTGTTCCTTCCCCCGGTGAGACCGCTCTCCGCCCGCAGACGGCCAGCAGCCGGGGCACCGTGCTGGGCACCCCGCAGCTGCACAACTGCGAGCCCGTGGAGAGCCGGCTCCGGAGGCGCGTGCAGGGCTGCTGGCGGGAGCTCCTGCGGGAGTGCAAGGAGCGCGACCCCCACAGGCAGGGCGACATCTCCGCGGCCGACTTCCTGGGTGCGTGGCCCCCGCAACAGGTTCACCTCCGGGCACAGCCGTTCCCCGGGGAGGCATCAGGTGGTGAGGGCGGGCCAGGGCCGCCAGCCCACTGGACCCTGCTGAGCCTCCCCCGCTGGCGTCACCCTGCGCCAGAGCACAGTCCTGGCTGTGTCCCGGGGGGCGGGGGGCATGTGAATGGCGGACAGCGAGGGGCGGGACAGGCGGGGACAGGACGCCGGGGTGCGAGGCCCCACACAGCTCCCAGGACTCACTGAGCAGCGCTTAGATGAGCTGTTCAGACTCAGCCGGTTCGGTTTATGCTCCAGCTGACGGCTGCACACGGTTTGTTAACATTAACTCAGGGAATCGTTCTGACCGGCCACCCTCCCCGAAGCCCTCAGCTCCGGCCGACTAACGCCCTGGCCTCCTCAGGAAAGGGTTTCTGGGAACCGGTATCCATGCAGTTTGCTGTGGGGACAGCCGTGGCCTCAAAAAGCACAAATGGAGCCACGCCCCAGGCACACAGACCCGAGAGCGCGAGAGCAGTAGCAGTGCTGTCCGCGGCGGCGGCTGCACCTGCTGCGGGCCACGTGCTCGTGCTAGTTCTTTTGGGTTTGAGCCGGATGGGCCTTAATTTGTGTTGTCATTAACAGCATCGCTGGTTTTCCTTTCTAACCGTGAACTCATATGAGCCAGCGACCCGTGACTCAGACAGCTTGCCTGCCCTCCATGTTCCATTCAGATTCAGTTCTGCACAAACATACTGGAAGGCATTCCGCTGCTCTGCCCGCCACCGGCCCCTGCAGGGCGGAGCATTGGCAGCCCTGGGCACGGCTCCTCTGGGCTCCCAGCCCCGCCCACACCCCAGCCCCAGCCGTCCCTGCGGCTGCCTGACCTGGGGCTGGGGCAGGGACCCCACTGTGCATGCACGCTGGCCTCCAGCTGGTCCGGCTGGTGCCTCTGTTTACATAACGTTCACCTGTGTTGGTTTTGCTCCTCAGCCTCGGTAACTCGCTAGCGTGCCCTCCTCCAGACGCGCTGCCTTTGTGCTGTCACAGGCGGGCTCAGTGATTGGCCTTAAGCTGGAGCCTGAGGCGCTTGTCTCTGCCCGCTCAGGGCTCTGGTCAGAGCTGAGCGTGAGAGCGAGCTAGAGGGGAGCTGGTAGCCTGACACCGACACGTGCCGGCCTCGGGCAGCTAGAAGGACCCCCGACGTGGCGTCCACATGGTCCTAGTCAGAGGCCAGACTAAGCCCTGGCCCGCGTGGCCATCAGAATAGGCTTTATGACCCGCCTGAGACCACCCCTGGCGGGAGGACTCGGCGTGTGGATCATGCAGCTGCCAGACCCGAGTGCACCTCCGAAGCCCGGCTGCGTCACCGGGCGGAGGCCACTGAGCTCCAGGCCCACACGCCTGTCCCCTCGCACGGGCTGGCCTGACCCTGAGCCTTCCTTCTGACAGTTCCCTCCCCGGACACCCGCTCCGCTCTCCCACCTGCTTCTTGTCGTAGCCCCCACGGCCCTCTCCACCCTCCCTGCCCCCGGCACGTGACTGCACAGATCCAGGATGTGGGGCCAGCAGGCTGCGGTGGGGGGGGGGTGTCCCCATACCACACTCAGCGTGCCGTGTGCACCCCGACCAGCACCGCCCAGAGCCTGTGAAATGGGTCTAAAGCAAAGATGGCGCCTCAGCAAGTGATGATCAAACGAACGAATGAATGGATGAGCGAATGAGTGAATGGATGAGGGAATGAGTGAATGGATGAGGGAATGAGTGAATGGATGAGGGAATGAGTGAATGGATGAGGGAATGAGTGAATGGATGGGGGAATGAGTGAATGGATGAGGGAATGAGTGAATGGATGAGGGAATGAGTGAATGGATGAGGGAATGAGTGAGTGGATGAGCGAATGAATGAATGGATGGGGGAATGAGTGAATGGATGGGGGAATGAGTGAATGGATGGGGGAATGAGTGAATGGATGAGCGAATGAGTGAATGGATGAGGGAATGAGTGAATGGATGAGGGAATGAGTGAGTGGATGGGGGAATGAGTGAATGGATGAATGAATGAATGGGGGAATGAGTGAATGGATGGGGGAATGAGTGAATGGATGGGGGAATGAGTGAATGGATGAGCGAATGAGTGAATGGATGGGGGAATGAGTGAATGGATGAGCGAATGAGTGAATGGATGAGGGAATGAGTGAATGGATGAGGGAATGAGTGAGTGGATGAGGGAATGAATGAATGGATGAGCGAATGAATGAATGGATGGGGGAATGAGTGAATGGATGGGGGAATGAGTGAATGGGTGAGGGAATGAGTGAATGGATGGGGGAATGAGTGAGTGGATGAGGGAATGAGTGAATGGATGAGGGAATGAGTGAATGGATGGGGGAATGAGTGAATGGATGAGTGAATGAGTGAATGAATGGGGGAATGAGTGAATGGGTGAGGGAATGAGTGAGTGGATGAGCGAATGAGTGAATGGATGGGGGAATGAGTGAATGGGTGAACGAAGCGAGGAAGAAAGGGGCGAATGGGTGAATGAAGGGGTGAACGCAGAGCCACCGGCTGAACTGCGCGCTCCCCTCAGCGCTCGCCGAGAAGTTCAAGCTGGACCTCAGCCAGGAGGAGGGCCAGCAGCTGACGGTCAAGTACGACCTCAAGGACAACGGCCGCTTCGCCTACTGCGACTTCCTGCAGAGCTGCGTGCTGCGGCTGAGGGCCACGGAGACCTCGCTGATGCAGCGGCTGAGGATCCAGAACGCAGACAAGATGGTAGGAGCCGCCCGGGGTGCGGGCCGGGGTGACAGGTCCCGCGTTCCTCGGCTTGTCACCGGTTCGCACCCGCTTCCTGTGAGGGCGGCACAGCGATGCGGAGGCCGCGGAGGGGCGCTGTGAGGACCCACCTCCGGTGTCGCAGCCTCGCGGCGCCCGGTGCCCGCAGCCCTCCTCCTGCACATGCGTTTGTGGGTCGCTCTTGGATGATGTGTGCATACCACGTGGTGTAATATAAACGTGTGCACATGTGTGGTGTATGCATGTACACATATAACAAGTATGTCCACGCACATGCCAAGCGAGCCTTTGCTACCCCATGTCCTTACTCCTTACGGCCAGTCCGGCTCCGGGCAGCTGTCAGGTGAGCGATAACCACTGGGCCTGCCAGTGAGCCCGCAGCCAGTCCGGGACGGAGCTCGTGCCGGGAGGGGCGCAGGGAGCCGGGAGGGGCGCGGGAGGGGCAGTGGGAATGACCAGGGCTCAGAGCCGGCTCCCCACTCCCGGGGCGGCCAGCCCATGGCACTTCCCACCCAGCGCCCTTCTCACCCCGGTTCCCTTTCCTCTTCCAGGAAGGAGCCGGCGCCGAGACGTCCTCCTTCTACTCGGCGCTGCTGCGCATCCAGCCCAAGGTCATGCACTGCTGGCGGCCCATGCGCCGCGCCTTCAAGGCCTGCGACGAGGGCGGCACCGGCCTCGTGGGCGTCACGGACTTCCGGAAGGTGAGCCTCCCGGGCCCGCCTCCCGGGCCCCGCACCCACGGGTCCCCGAGGCTCCCCCCGGGCTCCCCTCAGGCCCACACCGGAGCCAGCGCCTCTGGCCCCTCGGGGACCGGCCCCCTCCTCACAGCACCCCAGACAGCACCGGAGGGTCCGGGCGCGGCCCCGGCTGTGGCCCCTCAGAGGCCGGTCCTGGCCCTGCCTCAGGCACACGCTCACCCACCGCGGGGCGGCTGAGCAGTGCCCTCCCTGTCTGACTGCGGGGCCTCGGTGCCCTCACGGGAGAAAATGGGGGAGAGGAGAGGGACTGGGGGAGAGGGCTGCAGGAGTCACTGGAGGGGGAGGGCACAGTGGAGGAGGGCACGGTGGAGGGGGCACATTGGAGGGGAGGGCACGCCGGAAGGCACGCTGGAGGGAGGGGCACGCTGGAGGGAGGGGGGCAGCTGGAGGGGGGCAGCTGGAGGGGGCACAGTGGAGGGGGCACAGTGGAGGGGCAGCTGGAGGGGGCACAGTGGAGGGGGCACAGTGGAGGGGCAGCTGGAGGGGGCACAGTGGAGGGGGCACAGTGGAGGGGGCAGCTGGAGGGAGGGGCAGCTGGAGGGGGCACAGTGGAGGGGGCACAGTGGAGGGGGCAGCTGGAGGGAGGGGCAGCTGGAGGGGGCACAGTGGAGGGGGCACAGTGGAGGGGGCAGCTGGAGGGAGGGGCAGCTGGAGGGGGCACAGTGGAGGGGGCAGCTGGGGGGAGCAGCTGGAGGCAGCCCGTGGCGCCCGCCCCCGGCCCGCCCGCAGGTGCTGCGGCAGTTCAGCATCAACCTGTCGGAGGAGGAGTTCTTTCACATCCTGGAGTACTACGACAAGACGCTGTCCTCCCGGCTCTCCTACAACGACTTCCTGCGCGCCTTCCTGCAGTAGGCGCCGCCGAGCGGGCCCCGGGACGGTGAGACGGCCGCCAGGAACCAGCAGCCCCGAGCGGCGGCCCCGCGGTCAGCGCTCGGCACTGCCCTCGTCCCGGCCAGGGACCGCCGCCGGGCGGCCGCCATCGCCCGAGCCTCAGCGCCTCGCTAGTCTGAGCGAATAAAGTATTACCTCTGCAGAGAGGGCTCTGTGGCTTCGGAGGACCCCCCCTCCCCCCATCTCACCCCAAGCCCCCCCTCATCCTCCCACCCCCCATCCCCACCCCCGTGCTGGAGCTTCCATTCTGAGAGCCTGTGGGGGACCTGGCCTCTGCCTCGCCTGCCCTACCTGCCACAGCCCTGGCACGGCCCTGGCACGGCCCTGGCACATGCAGCTCCGCCTGTGGAGACGCTGAGCCAGCCCCGCAGAGGGAGGCCTGTGGACGTGGCGTGGAGGGCGGTCTGGGGTGGGGGAGGCAGCTTTGTGCTCCAGGCTCTCAGCGCCCGCCCCCCTGGCCTGGCAGGGGTGTGGGGTGGAGGCTGAGGGGCTCTGGCAGGGCAGGAAGCAGGGACCCCTCAGCCCAGCAGCTCCTTTCTTGGGGAGAATGCCTCGGCCCTGTGCAGCCTGCCTCCCCACCACCCATCTGCAGAGATGGTCCTCCCCCTGCACTGCCTTCCTCGGGCGCAGCCGCCCCCCGCCCAGCCAGCAGCCGTGCCACACAGACCTGTTACGGGAGTGCCCGGACCCGAGGCACAGACAGAAGAGAGGAGGGTTGGGGAGCCTTGTCTCTGGGAGCCTCAGAGCCCAGCCCAAAGCCTGGAGCCAGGCCTCCCAGAGGGTCTCGGTGAGGGCTGAGGGGCCAGTGCCCTCGGAGTCGAAGCCAGGAGGCCGAGGGGCTCGGGCACTCTGACCGCAGCGCTGGGCGCCCGGTGCCACTGCCTCCCTCCTCCTCTGGCCAGGCCCCGCGTCCCCCCAGGAGTGGAAAAGGAAAGAGGAACAGACTGCCTTCGGCAGACCCAATAGTACGCTCAGCACAGGGAAGGTGCGTGAGTTTGAAGAAAACACGTACACACATTGAAATGCAAAGAGAAAAAAAATAGTGGAGAAAATTCTCTAATTAGCAAAATACCCTTGCAAAATAAGAGAAATAGTCTTATAGAATAGTTTTATAGAAAACTCGTAGATAGGTGAATTGAGGCTATCTGGTCTTAAACAACAAAAAAGAGAAGCACAGCCTCGGAGAGCTGCGGAGCACAGCGAGCACGCAGCACACACAGTGAATGTGGGGGTCCAGGAGGAGGGGGGGGGGCTCCCAGCGGGAGGAGCACAGGGAGCACCTCTCCAGGAAGGTCAGTGAGCTGCCAGAGACGCGGCCAGACCGTCACATCACAGTCCTCTCGTTCGTATCAATCCGGCATCGATTCCTCAGAAAAACCTCAACAGGCTGGACATACAGGGCCCGCCTTAACCGAATAGAACACGTTCACAGAAGCCTCCAGCTGACATTACAGGAAGCGTGAGGGAGCAATGGCTTCCCCAAAGGTTAGCAGCCAGGACGGCCCTCCTCCCAGTGTGCGTCCTCACTGCCAGGCCTGCCAGAGCAACAAGGCAAGAAAAGGGAAAGTGGGAAGAAATAAGTAAAACCGCCACCTGGACATTCCAAAGAGCCTCCAAGAACACCGAGTTACAGGGCAGCAGGCGAGAGTGGACCCTACGCCTGTGTCCACGGGACAGCTGGAATATGACGTTTAATACTCAGCTGTTTATGGCGGGCCCTCCCCCAGAGAAGTGCTCAGGCATAACCCTAACACCCTGTACAGCATCCCTGTGGTGGAAAACGTGAGCGCGGATGACAGAAATCAAAGATTTAAATAATCGAGAGGAATGGTTTGCGTGAATCACGAGACGCGATGTTCTAAAAATACCACTTCTCCCTCCTCTCCTCTGTAAATGCTGTGCAGTCGCAACAGAAAGCTCAGCAAGATTCATGTGTGTGCAGGTCACTTAGAGGTGGATGTGGAGCAAAGGTCACCTTAGGGTCAAGGTCCCACCTGTTGGTAGGTACCCGGGGCTTACCGCCCTGGGGACCTCCTGTCCTGGGCCCCTCCACCCTGTCCTGCTCGGGTCTGTCTAACCGCCTGCCACACACCCCCTCGAGGGTCTATGGCTGGTCATGCAACTTGGCCCCCCTGACCTCTGCTTCCTTCAGAGAACATTCCGGCCTCAGTTGCATCTCAGCTCCAGGCCCAGATAGGGAAGCCACGCCTGACCTCACACTAGCTGCCCTGACACCAACCAATCCGCAGCAGAGACCTGGACCCTGAAAGGAAACACCTGCCGAATATTCTATTGAGATCTTCCCCCGGGACCCCCGTCCCTTAAAATCTTCACCCTTAAATCCTTAGGGCCCGGTCAGCGTGGCTCAGTAGTTGAGCGTTGACCTATGAACCAGGAGGTCAGGGTTAGGTTCCCAGGAAGGGCACATGCCCGGGCGGTGGGCACATGCCCAGTGTGGGGCATGCAGGAGGCAGCCGATCAATGATTCTCTCACCATTGATGTTCCTATCGCCCTCCCTCTCTCCCCTCCTCTCTGAAGTAAATAAAAATATGTTTTTTTAAAAACCTTCCTGCATATCCCACGGGCACAATGCCTCTCCTTAAGCCCACTCTTCCTACTCCCATGCTCCACCTTCATGCTGGCAGCCAACATCCGTTGCCATCTTAGCTCTCCCTCACCCCATCCCCACACCCCACATCCATTACCCATCCATCTACCTCCCAACCCTGTCAGCAGCTCTACTGTCATCTCCTAGTCCAAGCCAGGCCCATGGGAGGTGCTCAGTGAGTGAGTGTGGAATGAATGGATGCATGGATGGATGGATAGGTCAATAGGAAAATAGATGGATGGGTAGATGGATGGTGGGTAGATGAGTCAATGTTTAGATGGGTGGATAGATGGATGCTGGGTGGGTGGATGGATGAATGGATTGGTGGATGGATGGATGGATGGATAGGTAGATGGTGGGTGGATGGATGGATGAATAGATGGATAGATAGGTGGGTGGATTGATGGATAGATAGGTGGGTGGATGGATGGATGGATGGTTGAATGGATAGATGGGTGAGTGGATGGATGGACGGGTGGATGGATGGATGGGGCAATGGGTAGGTGAGTGGATGGCTGTATTGATGAATCGATGGATGATTGAAAGTGGCAGGATTCTTGCAGCTTGAGGAGCTTTGGGCCTGGAGTCACTGTACCTGCCAGTGCTTTTCTTGGGCAACACCTGGACCGCTAGGTTGGCAGGAGTGGGGCCACACCTGCTGCTACCCGGAAGGTATTTGAACACAACAGGGCCCAGAACTGCCCCTGCCAACCACCTCTGAGAGCCCCAGTGCCCAGGACGCTGGAGAGAGCAGAAGGGCACCTGTCGCTGACCATGGAAGGAAGGTCCCAGACCCGGGACTCACGGGGTGGCTCTGCTCCTGCCCCACATCCCCACATGCCCCACACGACACAGACACACAGACACACAGACACAGGAAGAGGCACCACGCGGACTTGGCTTTCTTTTTACAAAGACTTTATTGTCTGACATGCTTGACAAAAAAATTACAGCCACAATCGAGTTATGCCAAAATGGTTTTGGAGCACGCCATCAGCTCCGTACCCCAAGGACGTTAGTGAATGTTCTCTTAAAGTAACAGCTGCCTTCGTAGCTTTCCTTCTCCACATAAAAATACAGCCTCTTCTGAAGACACCTCAGGAAAACTTAAGTTATAGACCGTGGTCCACATAGAAATGCATAGAGGCGGCTGAAAGGGCCTTTTCTCCCTCCCCCCACCCCCAACTCTGCGTCTGGGGCACCCCGGGACCTCGCACACACCCCAGCTGCCAGGAACCACTTGGCCAAACAGGGCTCCCAAAGCGCTGCCCCCCAAAGTGCTGAGCTGGCCTGGGCCAGTGCGATGTGGCCGCAGCTCCCTCGCCCCCTTCCCCCACCGGTGGGGCCCGAGCCCCTCCAGGACCCTCGCCGAGGGGAGGAACAGGGTGCAGGGCTCCGGGCGCCATGAGCAATGAACCAGACAGGCCGAATGGACCGCAGTTACCAAAACAAGGACCGCGGGCACGCCTGGCCGTGCAGGGCGGAGCTGGTGGTGGGGAAAGCGAGGTTCAGATCCTGCCACTGCCACTTCTGAGCTGTGCACCCTCAGGCCAGTTCCCCCGCCTCTCTGGTCTTCACCTCATCTCTAGACCGGGCCAGCGGTGCCCACCCTGCAGGGTGACAGTGACAGGTAAATGAAATGTAACAGCAGAGGCTGGTTCCCGGCTGGGGCTCAGAGGAGGCGAGCCGGACCCTTCCCTCGGGAGCACAATTTCAGGGGTTACCCAAAGCCTCAGTGAGGACGGCACTGGATGCTATCTTAATGCCAGGTTTTTAAAACCAAAGCTGATGCAGAAACATCCACGCTGAGCACAACGGCCAAATCATAAAGGAAGACAGACACTGATGCTGCTCGCGCCCCCCCGCCTGCCTCGCCGCTCCTCACCAGGCCCTGCTGGCTGCCCCTCCCTCAGAGACTCAGTCCAACCCCCCCACCCCACCCCCAGTCCTGATTTAAGAAGAAAAGGGAGGCCCTGGGCCTGTGCTGTCGCTGTACCACCTCCCGCTACGGGCCAGCTGGCGCTGGGACGAGGCCCGTGACTCCTTCGCCATCCTCGGCTGTGGGCGCGCCAGGTGGAACCCAAACAGCGTGAGGGAAACCCCACTGGAGGACGGCAATGAGAAGCAGGGGACCTGCTCATTAAATTAAGGGTGTGTATGTGCGTGCATGCATGTGCATGCGTGTGCCCGGTGCACGCCAGCCTGAGCACATGCGTGGTTAGGTGGCCTCGGCCTGTGAGCCCTCCAGGCCACTGAGTTGTGCAGACCAGTGCAGCCCCGGGGGGACCAGGCTTCGTCCATGACTTGGGAGCCCTGTGGCGGGTCTTGGGCTCATTCTGTAGAACCAGCCAA